CACCAGCATCAGATGGTGATGCATGAATGAAGAACCAGGGTTCAGAATCTTTTACAATATTACAATTTGATTCTTGTCAAATTACAATTACAATAAGTGAATTGAATGTTTTCCACCATCTTTCCAGGCACCACGTAAGCACAAAGAAGCAGAGAATGGCACAGTTCACGCTGAATCCATGAGCAAGTCTAAAGAATTAATGGCGCCCCCCTGCTGTCTGAGTGTGCTCTGCAGGAGGTGAGAGATGACTTACAGCTCCACCTCTGCATGTCGGCGCTCATGGCACTACCTGTTGTGCTCATCACCCCTCACTCCTCCACTGGATCCGCAACTTGAGGTACAGTATTGAAATGGAAGGAGCGTGTGAGAGAGCATGTTAGAGACGAAGCACCTGCACTGCTGAGATGAACACACCCAAGGCTGTGTTTATTAGAGAGTATGCTAATCACCACCCCATGTTTAACAATGCTTATTAATTATTAACTATGCATCTGTTCAGAAAAATGCAAAAGTTTCTACATGTACAAAAACTGGACGTCCACAGCAATGTGTAGTTAAGTATCTGATTTGACAAGACCAATTACGAAAATCAAGTCCATTGCAATATTAGACTTCCTTTGGTGCTTCCATTCCTGCATGGAGATCTAGTCCAGGTGAGAGAGAGAGAGCTGCGATTCCCTATGCTACACTGTAAAGGCCAAGAGATGAAGGGCTTGCTAATGTCTGGTTGTTGTGATGATGTGGTACAACTTGTTGGATTTAAGGGGGGGGGGGGTTAGACTTGGTAACCTCACAATAACATGTGTTGCTTCAATAAATTGAGTTTGAATAGCATCCTCCATTTTTGCATACTACCCACCAAAGGGTGTATTAGTTATGTCAAACAAAACATAATAAAATCTTCAAACATTCCACCACATGTTCAGATAAAAATTGGCCCATTTTATGTAAGCAGGTCCACTAATGCATCTTTAAACTTTCTACTTTCTATGAATATAACTGTTGAATCTTTACCAGCTGCAGGGGTGCTGGTTTGTCTAATATTGACCTCTGATTTGTTGGCAGAACAGGATGTTTCTGTGGCAGATCACTGTTATTAATTATTGTATTCATTTAAAGTTCCCTACAAATTATTTGTGTAAAATAACTGGCTGAAATCAGTACCATTATTCGTTGTGATCCTCTGCAGGTATTCCACGCAGTTGGATCCTGACCCCTGTTGGCCACACATTGTGCCTCTAATTAGTGTGTACATGCTGCTTATTAACTGCAACACCTTAAAACTCAGCAACAGGTAAGAGGACACCATCACCAACACACACATCCCCTATTCATTGATTACCCTGTCACAGGAATTCTGCTGCAGTGTACAACTTTTTCTATATCTCTTTCAGTAAACTCCTGCCTCTGACATCCTGCCTCCCTCTCCCCTTGGCCATCACCATGGTGACCTTCTCTCCACTCCACCTCTACAGGGTCACCTACTTCCTGTTGGCAGCACTAGCCCCGCTGGCCTTGTGTTGTCTTCTCTGACGGTATCTGGCAGCTTTCAGTCCACATCTCCACCATAACAAGCCTTTCTCTAAAGCGCAGCTTTACTCACTGAAGCTGGTCAAGACTGATTTGTCCGGGAAGACTTACGCCATCTAGCTGCCATGGAGCAGAGCCATAGACATACATAGCTTGGGGAACTGTCTGCTCAATGTTAGCACTGAAAGCTCCATGGCGATTACACTGTGTTTTAAAATGAGAGGATGTAATGGCCTTGGAACATTTGGTGTGAATATGGCTCCCAAGGATTGACCTGAAACCAAGTTTGCCTTACTTTGTATATCTATAGCTCTGTCTTCAAGGAGCAAGAACTCCACAACCAGTGAAGCTACTGATACTAGAGATCACAACAGGGTGTTACTGTTAAAACGTCTTCTTTTAGTTTTTGTTTGTTTCTAGTGTTTACAGTGGCACTGTTCACTGTGGTCACTACGCTGTGAACTCCTGCACTACCTACTGCTTAGCGATGACTTATGGTTCTATGTTATCTTTACCTGTTGACTGTCGTAGCACTGCCAGGCACGGGCAGCAAAATGAACGTTTGAGCTGGAAAAGGTTTTAGTGAATGCGCAGGTTCTAATCTGTCGCACATTTTAATTCAGAAGAGGAAATTATGATCTACTCCATGTTCTCTAAAATACAGGGGTGTAGCCAAACAATTTTCATAGGCGTGGCCAGGCTATGAGCACTATTCATTTTGGGGTCTTGTTTAGTCCTTTTTTCCTGCGTGTCACTGTGTGACAAATACTCGCTTTTCGATACTCATTCGTTTATTTAGGTAACAGCGGCTGTTAAATGAGCAGCAGGCTAGGCTTAGCCAAATAATATTGATATATATTTCCTACTTGAAAGACATGAGGCAAGAACTCTTAAAGAAAGGATCTAAAATGCCGTCAGTGCTGTGTTGGTTGTCGTGTGTGAACAGGCTTTGTTGTGTCCTTTCAGACACTCTGGAGTGAGGTCTGACGGTCAAATTATGCTGGACTATTACACTAGGGACACCCTCTTCTACGTTGTTCTTGGTGAAGCATCTGGCTAGCAAAGTTTAAAAAGCAGATTACTTGCTTTCTCTAAGCCTCAGATTTAGGTTCAGTGGAGGATTATGGGACGTCTGTTCAGTATTGCAGCATACAGTGTGATTGGAGCTTTAAACAAACACTTTGTAAACCCCATATTGTAATTGGAATTTTATCTGCTTTGTGCTGCTGCAGTTTAGTGACTGTTTAAGGCACTGTAAGCTATCCTAATGGCAGGTGTACAGGTGAATATTTATAACCAAGGAATCCACCTTTTTGTCTTAATTTTTTAATACCTTTTTAAAACAAAGATCACAAAACTACTGGTCTGTGTGTCCTTTTACAAAGTCAGCCACGCATGGAGCAGTACATAGCAAGCAACAACTTAAATTCTTATTCTTATTTTTGAATATTTTCTCTTAATATGTTAGAACATGTGGTTCCAGATTTTAACATTTTAAGAGCAACTTAGAAGACGAGGCTGGGGTCGTTTTATATTTTCCTTACTGTCAACAAAAGCCAACAATGTGCTATTTGGCTATTTAGTACTTTTTTGACGTCCCTACCATGTTGGTGGCACTCAGCCCCAAGCCTGATGCTTTTTACTGAGGATGTACATTTTTAAAAACATAGTTTCTTTTTTTATATAATTTCCTAAAGCAGCTGGTGTCAGTGATTTTTAGTAAATGTAATTTAAACAGGAGGAAATCTGATGATTTCCAACTGTGGATTAATCCACATTTGGTGCTCTAGTGGGTAAACTACAATGTCTCCCAGTGCAACAGTGTAGCTCACTGATGTGTTTTAATAGTTTTTGGATAACAGTGGAGCTCTGTGGCACAGAGGAAGATGATATCAGGTTTTGGCTCCACACACAATACTTGTTAGTGGATATTCATGCCCTGTGATGGACTGGCGACCTGTCCAGGGTGTACCCCGCCTTTCGCCCGATGTAAGCTGGGATTGGCTCCAGCCCACTGCGTCCCTGTACGCGGGATAAGCAGTTGACGATGGATGAATATATTCATTGCTGGTTTGGGTCTTTTCATGGGATTTGTTGACAGAAAGAGAACTATAAAATATAACAAGCCTTCTCCTTTGTTATAAGAGGAGGATGTAATATTTGATAGAATGAAGCTTTTAGATTTCAGTGGAAAAGAAACAGTTGTGAAATTCTGTTGCCACAATTGCTTCAAACGATCATTATGATTGTTGACGAAAACTGTTTTCTGTGCGGTGACGCATGTTGTGTGTGTGGTGTATTGTAATGGCATGTAGGCCTAACATTTTGTTGCTTTTTGACTTCAGTCAAGTGTTGCACTGACACCGACACCCCTTAGAGTTTCATAACAAACTTTTGTGAATCAGTGTCTGACTAGGGGTTTACAGTATCTGTGGGTAACATGACAGACATGACATGACAGCTGTACCAGTTTCAATTTTGTTTTATTTTATGCCTCTCTGTGTTAAAGATTGTGTTGTATTGCTTTGTGTTACATCCTCTTACTGTTGCTCACACCTCCTCACATCAGTGAAGCAGCTGCTGTGCCTTTCTGCTTTCTCGTGTATGCAGCAGTGCATCTGTTCATACCTGCCTGTCAGTTGAAAACCATGTAGTCCTCAGTAGCAGTGTCTTGGCTAAATGATAAAGGCCTATGGTGAATGTAAGTGTACTTCACTGGTTCTGTGTGAATGAGTTTACCCACAAAAATATTTCCTCAACACGGTAGTATGATTTTGAATTTGTGTGACTTGATAATAACTTCATACTAAAGATAAGTTCATAAGGGACCAATCACTCTTGCCCATCAAGCAAGCATACAATCATGTCAGCATGCTCTGCAAGACGCCACTGTTGTTCCCAATGTGAATGTACCTGCGCAGAATGTCTCTACGTGTGTTTGACTTTATACAATTACTAGTGGTGTAAGTGATTTTAGTGCTTTTCTGTGCACTCGTCTGTTTGGTGCAGTTTTAGTGCTTTGAGATGCACATTGTCGCCTCATTGTGAATTGGTGGCATACACTACTTTGTAGAACAAATTAGAAGAGTCCAGAGTTCTGTTTTATATAAATATAAATGTGATTTATATCGGTGTTCACTGTGATCATGTCGTACTTCCAGATTTACACATGAGGGTTTTCTTTCCAAGCTGGAAAACCGATGTTTGGAAAATTTCTTTTTTTACATTTTCTCAGACAAAATTATCCTTTGGAATATTAGGCATTAATATTAGCTCGCATTTTAGAGTAAGACAGAAAATCATATTTCTTTGTCATATATGTTTCTTGAATACATCCAGAATTAGGTTGAAAACTTGGACTAAAATTATGCAGGGAATCAAATTCTACATTTCATAAGCACTCAGTCTTATAAATACTACCATTTTAAAAACCGATAAAACAAACAGTGTTCCCGTTGCTCTCTTGTTGTAATGCAGTTATGGAAAATGTGCCTATCTATTAATTTGTGTTATATTGGGTTACGTATTTTGAATTCAGACAAATCGATCTTTACAGGGAAGAAGCAAGTGAATATGTTATTTCTCCACTTTAACATTATTGTCTTTTATTCTATATTAAAATGCTTCTGGGTGTACCAATATGAATCATTTGTGGAAATTGAGTAAACTGTAAGTTGGTAAAATGGCACCATTATCAACGAGAATAGCGGCCACTGAATCTCTTTCCAGTCTTATAGATCCCATATTATGCTCATTTTCAGGATTCTTTTATTTTACAGGTCTACTAGAAAATGTTTATACACTTTAATGTTCAAAAAACACATTATTTTTTTCATGGTGTCCATTGCTTCAGCCCCTCTTTTCAACCTCTGTCCATAGACTGTATATAAGAAGTGGACGTAGTCATCATGACGTCACCCGCTGTTTGTGGACTGCCGTTTTGAAGCCTCGAGTTTGGCTGATAGGTCGCTGCCATGTTGAGTTTTTGCAATCAGGAAGTGCCCGGAAGTTACCATATTTGGACAAAACAGTGGAGCTAACAGCCGTGTGCAGAGCTAGCTAGCTTGCTAAGCTAGGTGCTTCATTCATTGCGTCATTTTAACAGGGCTGACAATATTGTCTAGCAAACAACAGTCTTACTTAAAACTAAATGTACTCACTAAAGAAAGTGAACAGCCAACTCCTAATAAGCTTTTTCAACGGAACTGGTTAAATTTATTCAGTGCCGTGGGTACGAGTCGGCTCTAGCCTGATTGACAGGTCGCCATGGTAACAACTTGTCAATCATAGATAATCCCGCTCTGAAACATACTCTGCTTTATGGTCTATTTTAAAATAAATGGGACCATTATTTATTAAATGAACATCATTTTATATTGAAGAACACATGAAACTAGCAACTGAGACCATAAACTCATTAGGAAAGTGTTTACTGAGGTAATTATTCAGGTGAGAAATTTTTTTACCATTATTTCTAGTGGAGCCGGACTTCTTTTTGCAACCAAAAGAGTCACCCCCTGCTGGCCGTTCAATAGAATGCAGGTTTCAGGGACTTCGCATTTGCATCAGATCGCTGACCGCTAGCTTCCCGCTTACCTCTGTCTCAACACTTTGTTGTAGCTCCTGTCTCTTTAAGGCCCCCTCCCTAACAGCCCACTTTCTTCTGATTGGCCAACTTCTAGAAGCCTGCCCAGGGGCAGGAACTAGCTAGCACAGCGCTGAATTGTGTGGAGCTAGGTCTGCTATGAGTGACAAGGCCTTACAGTACAAAAACACAACTTTTATCTTTATCATGAGCTGACCCTGCCCGGACTGGAAGCTTGGTGCTCTGGGGGTTATTACAACGTTAGTACAGGAGCCTTGGACCACTGGGAGCGCCTAGTTTGGGCAGAGTCGGCTGATAACGGCAGCTGCAGTTAGCAGTAGCTAGCAGTTACTGTAGTGTTAGCAACAAGTAAAGCTGTCTGTCCATCAGGAAACTCTGTAAATCACAGACTTGAGGCAGATCAGCCAGGGAACATCAGAAGGAAAAACTGAAAATATTCCTTTCCTTCATAACCCTAAAAGCTCTTTCTGTGAGACACACTGAACAACAT